TTTGAGGTTGGTTCTCATCCCCATACACAAGCAGCCACAACTGAGCAGCAGCAGCAGTGGTGCAGTGGGAGGGATGCTCCCAAAGCTGCCCCTGATGAGGGGCCCAGCTTCCCAAGCTGGAATTGTTCTATAAAGATGATCTTGCTCCCAGAGTTCCAGAATCCCACAGCATGCTGGGCAGCACACGTGACAGCACTGGCAGGGTAAAGGCAGGTCCCAAAACAGGACACAGCCACCTAAAGGTAACTTGAACCTCAGCTTCTTACAGGTCACAAGGAGCAACTTTCAATGAACACAGACCCTGAGCAGCCCCCAGCACAAGCCAGCTCCAGGCTGAGCTGCTGTCCCCTCCCAGGTGCCCTGGTGGCCTCTGGCCCCCCCAGGCTCTGCACCACCTGCCTGGAGTGAGCACTGCACACAGGCCAGGGAGGGGACACGGTGGTGGCCTCAACACAAAGCAGAAGGTGTCACCAATGGTCTCACCAACAGGGAAAAGAGACAGCACTACAGCAATTGTTGCTTAGCAGTGTTGGGTTTGTCAAAACAGGACAACCAAATGACAACTGTACTTGAGAGACAGCAGAATGGGAGAGGAGAAAACTGCTAAGAGACTAAGGACTGGCAGCTCCAACTGCTGCACCAGCCTTACAAGCAGTAAGTCTTACTCTTCTCCAATGTCACCAACCAGGACTCCACACCATAATCTTCTCATCTGCCTTCCACAGGAGCCACAGTTTTTCTGCATGAATCACTGTGATCAAGGTCTCCAGCTGCCCCAAGCGTTCCAGGATGAAGCTGATTGCATCTCTCTACGAGCCACTTAAAAAGCCAAAACTCAGCAAGGACCCAAGGCCCCAGAAGGTCCTCTCCAGCCTCCTGGCAGCAGCTGGCAGTTACCGTTAGGTGGCAGCGTTAGCTCAGCTCTGCTCTCCTCCCAGAGGAGCCGCTCGGGAAGCTGGCGTGGGAAGAGGGAAGCATCTGTGTTGAGTGGGTGGATACAGAAGTATGTGGAATGTACTTAGCATGTCAGCATTTGCTTTCATGTGCGAGATGGATCCACCACCATGACCTCTGCTACATGCAAAACCACAAACCCTGCTCAGAAGTTTTCTAACCACCACGAGGTCCGAGTGCTGCTCCTGCCTCACAGAGAATGGGTTCTCTTAGTCTGGCAGAGCAGGTGAGGAACTTGGATTGAACAAGGACCTGTCGTGCAGGAGGGGAGGCCTATGTGGTACATCTGAACAAGAAATTCATTCACAGATCTTGTGTAGATCTAAATTTTCCATCACCAGATTTCAACCAGTGCCTTTATGAAACAGGAATTGCATCAACTCTCCCAGAGCTGTTCAAACCTCTGAGCAACCCTGTGTTGGTAGGACCTAACCTATCACCCTGCTCCTGTAACAGCTCTAACCACAAAACCAAACCCAAGTATGCAACAGCACGGCTGATTTTACCAGTGCCACACCAAGTGTCCACATTTCTCAGACCAAGGCAACCACTCTGCAGACTCCTCCTTCCTGCAAGCCTTCTGGAAGGATTTCTGGCAGCATCTGCATAATATCACAGCCAGGAATATTCCTAGCAGAGGAAGGTGGCCCAGACCTGCTCTGCACTTAAAGCCAACAGGAAAGACAGTGATAGAAAATCAAAGCTTTGTGACAATCTTCATTCTGAAAATTCAAAAATGACAACTCAGAGATGAAAGACTTTAAACACCTCTTTTCTAGTGTGAACAAAACACTTCATAGTGTACATTGTGGGTATGCTGAGTGACAGCAATGTAAAAATCCCAAATGTAATTGGATCATTTTGCATTTTGAAAGGTGACAAACTGTCAGCAAGGCAGGAGAAAACACGTGCAAACTCTTCTATGAACAAGCTTGTGACTTTAAGGGGTGTCACTGAAACATAACTAGCAAGTTCCAGGTTCATTACAATATAAATGATTTTATTACTTAGCAGCTGAGATTCTTTGGTGTATAGTACAAGAACAGCCATTAATTCTTGGAAAATATGAGGCATTTATTAGCCAGAAATTCCAACATTTGAATATGAAGAGACAATTCTGTGTGTATTCTGAGTATATATATTGCTCCTACAACATACCTACAGGCAAATTTCTAATTATTAATAGATAATACTGGGTCTAACATTCTATTTCCCAACGAGTGAACATGCCAGCAGCACAAGTACTAATGCCAGAGAATCAGCTAAGAAGACACTTGCTGCTGGTTGCCCACAGATTATTGTGGGGCTTTGTTTTGTTTTGGTTTTTTAATTTAAAAATATGGAAGGGAAAGTGGAGGAGACACAGGAAGTCTTCTAGAAAGATGCTGGAACATGGTCCTACAGTCCATGTTTTAACAAGGCTGGAAAACTGGAGAAGATGAATGAAGGACCAGTCAGAAGTTACGTCAAAGGCTGGAGAAAAATACTGACAGAGACAGAATCTTCAGCTTATTCCAAAAAAATTGGGTTAGTGCTTTGAAAAGAACGAAAAATACATATTCAGACTAGGAAAGACGTGCACAGCCAGAGGGTGGAAGGTGACACCAGATCCACTAAAGATCCCACACAGATTTTGGGAAAGGGCTGTTTCCCCACCACAAGGCAACAACGGACACTGCAGAGTTTCTCCAGCCCTCTCCCCCTCCCAACCAAGAGCAGTCAGCAGGTGAGACCCCCAGTCATAATTTAATTTTAAAGAGCCTGTGGTTTTGGTGGAGCCAGTATCTTAATAAAAAAAAATACTCTTGATGCTACTTCTGGAAGTTGGGCAGGTTTGGAGCCCTAAGACTCTTTCATTTGAAGCTCTCTAACTCCTTTTATCACTCAGCAGAAAGTTTCTATTTCAGAAACAATATAGCATAAATTCCACTATACTTGCAAACAAAAGTAAAGAAGTCTGTGGGTTGGAAAACAGTATTACTATTTCAATAACAGACGAGTTGATGTGATATAATAAATCACATTCTACAATGCAATTTTAGCAACAGATAGCAATCTAAAGATCCTCGAAAGCCCCATGAAACTCTAATGTTAACAGCACGTACTCCAGAACTACAATGTTGAAATTCAAAGCTTTAGGTCATTCACCAGTCCTCAAAACCTACACATCACTGGGGTTCAATATATCACGCTTTTAGATTATCTGCAGTTCTAACTGATGATCCAAAAATGAGGAGGATAGAACGTGCAGCAACTCTTGAGAAGCAAACAGCACACCAAGAGCTAACGTACGAATGCATTTCTAAACCTTCTCCTGCCCTGTAAACCATCAAACTTCTCTGGAATTCACAAAGGCACATCTAGAGAAAACCACTAAAAAAGTGGATTAAAGGCATTTGGGACTCACTTGTCTATCTCGATGCCGAGGGGGTTGGCTGGGCGCAGGGACAAGGGGGGGATCCCTTTGTTCCTGTCCGTGCGCATGTCGTAGTAGTTCATCTCCTCCACCCAGACAGCAGACTGATCCAAGATACCTAGAGAAAACAGCACAGAGCCTTAAAACAACACCCCGGCCCCACGCCAGCAGCTCCCAGCATGCTGAACTCATTTCAGAAAGCCTGATAAATATCAAATGCATGCCTAGGTAAGATATTGGAGGATCCAGGGCAAAACAACCTGGATGCAATTAGGGGACATTATTTTATTACAGCTGCTGGAAGGTATTGGTGGCAGGCACCCATCGCCCCCCCCGCCCTCGCCCCCCCCCCCAGAGCGCACGGGTTTGGGTGCAGGAGAAGCATTTCCCTGATCACAGTATTAGTGTTCTTCATTCCTCCAAGTATTCTGGTGTCTGTCTGAATCTTGTCATCTACTACTTTCAAAACAAGCAATTAACTGGAGATGGTCTTATCTGAGTCTTTTAGGAGAGATCCCTTTTCTGTGCCACTCACTAACCACAAAATAAGGGAATTTTGGCCATATGCTACAGTGGATGACTCAAAAGGACACAGGGCTGACTTTGTTTCCATGGCTTAGCACAGACAATGTGTAAAAGTGAGGCACAACAGGTCTTGGTGCTCATCCAAAAACACAGCCAGTCATACTCCTGGCTGTGCCCTTCTTCCACAGAGCCACCAGAGACTCAACAACAGACATTGCCCCATCCCCACTCACCCGCTTTTAAACAATACCAATTCCCCTCTCTCAGCACCAAGAGCTTCACTGTGGAACATCTGCACTTGATTCACCTTTCTGTTATTAAGATCTTAGCACATCTTGGGAGAAATTATGTGTTATTTAGCTGTCACTGAACCACAGAGAACAAAAGCCTCAAACAGTTCTTGTGGGAAGCCCTGCACTGGAAAAGATGACTACCCAACTTCATCAATGAGGTGTCCTGAAAGAAACATTTTCAATCCAGAGGGTGTTTGGGCTGGATTCTAGATTAAGCAGGGGTCCTAGACTGCTTGGCAACACCGTTTCAATGGTTAAGCATCTCTTGAGAAATGCTTAAGACTTCCCATGCTGCAGGACGGTTTGAATTACAAGTAAGGAACAGCACTGAGGACTGAGCTTTCTTTTAAGGATTAACTGCCAGCTCAGGATTTAGGTGTAAAGCTCATGAGCTGGTTTATATTTTGTATTTATCTGGTACACTTATGAGTAATTACTGGGTCTGTTATGAATCTTTTTAAAGTTTTAGAAGTTTAGTGCTACTCACGGAAAAATAAAGGGCTACTTTTCATTAGTCACTGAGGGTTTTATCAGGATATTGAGACAGGGGGATTAATTTCACATAAACCATGAGTTTATCTATGTATATATTTGCACATTTTATTGATAATACTCTGCTTTTTCTAGACAAATGAAGATTGCTGTGAGGTGGATTAAATTTAAACATACATTTTATTTAAAGAGGCACTCAGTCATGTGTGTTTAGCAGAGAAAACAGATATGGATTTGAACAAGAAAAATACCTATTTTTTCAGGTTTAAGCAGTTTGAAGGAAACAGTTGAAGTTCCTTTGCCACCAGACTTTGTAGTAACAATGATGTCTCCCTTGTCATTTTTGGCCTGTCCGACTCGACACACGATTTTACTGGCAGACATCCACTCAGCAGTTAGCAGACAGTTGTGACCACAGATTGTTAAACCTGGGGAAAAGAAAAGAAAGAGAGACCCTGCTGTGAATAGAAGTATCTTTTGAAGCTCTATAATGCAAATACATTTATGATGCTTCATATTTGACATATATATATGACTCTTGGTCATCCCCTTTCATCTGTTCACTCCATGTGACTTTGCACGGTAAAAAAAAAAAAAAATGAAGAAAGAAACCTGAAAATATTCACAGTGAACAATGTTTCTTCAAACTTAATTGTTTAGCAGTACTTTTGTGGACAGAAAAGTTTTTGGTTTTGTTTTTTAAAAAAAAAAAGCATTAACTGACAAACACTGTACAAAATCCAGGGTGCAAGACTGATTCTGCTGAAAAAACTGCCCTTGTATGTGAGAATAGTTGTGTGATGTTCATCTATTTCTTATTCCAAACTTCCTCATAACAAAGTATAAAGGACAAGCTATGAAATAAAATTACAATATATATTTTAGTCATGAAATTCTCTCACAGGCCAGGACTGTGATGTCCTGAACTATGCCAAGCTTCAGTGTTTAAGAACAGCCATTAACACTGAGGAGTCCAGGTACACCTTAACAGAAGGTCCAAGGTTTGCTGGGGCTTCACATCCAACCAGTCTGACCAGTGGATCAGTGGGGTTGTCTCTGCTCAGACTGGGACTCTGTGCTGGAATGGATGGACTGTTTTCTCAGATATAGAACAACCACCTGCGTATTCTTAATTGGGAGTTTTGTTGTTCTGAAGAATTGTCAAGATCCTAATTTCTACGGGACTGATTTGGAGAACAACTTCGTTAAGTTCCTCTTCAGTAACATCCCTCCCTAGAAACATTTTATCCAAAAGGACAGGGCCATATTAGTGTGTTGGCTGCACTGGAGTTATAATAAATTAGTCAAGCACAGCAGTTCCTCCTCTATTGGCTTGGATTTTGTTTTTAATTTCTAGAAAGCTCTGACCAATTTTAAAAATACTTACAGACAGAAAAAGGTCAGTGTTTGTGGCTCAGTACCAAAGCTTCACACTTACTTTTTCTCACAACTGAAGTCTCTGACATTACACAGCAGACAAATTTGGCAGTTTTCACGGCAGTCAGATGTAAAAGGGCCTTTACTCCCTGCCAAAAACTATTTTGAAAACGAGAACCAAAAAATAAAACACAGAAAGGCACTGCATCTTACTACAACTGACAGCATTTCACTTGAGCAAGGACAGTAGACCCATTGCTCAGAAGATGCCTGAATAAGGGAGGAGGAGGAGGAGGTGTGAAATAGGATACACACACAAAAAAGCCTTAAAAACATAACAATATTTTGGCTATTTACTTGCAACATTTTAACCAGACCAGTTTTTATTTTTCAGAATGGAAGGAAAAAAAGCCAGACATTTATGTAGTGTGGGTTTTAACCTACTATTACATCTCTTTTGGTTTCATGCAAACAAATTCTCTGAGGGAAGAAGAATGTGGTGGGAACTAAGACTGCTGAATTAATTTCTCTGAGCCATTCATAAAGAGTTTTTTACCCTAGAATTTCAAAGGTCTGAACTCACACTTAAATTAAGTAATACTTTAAAAACAAGATCTGAGCTATAGCAATTGAGTAGGGTAAAAATTTTGAAACAACTGGTTTAAAGACCCTTGTATCAATTCTATTGTACTGGTCAGAGGTTCCTAAAGCTCTGAAGAGAACAAGATGACAAGATCTGGCACCTCTGAAATGGAGGGAACAGCCTCTCTCTGCATCTTACAACTGCACAGGAAAGTCTCTATCAACATTTTGTAGACTGTACTAAGTACAGGAGTGGCACAACATAAAACCAAACTAAAAACCAACAAAAGCATGTTGGTGGAGACCTGTTCATAGTATAGGTACAACATTTTTTTTTCCGAAAAGAGAAAAGTTCCCCCAAACAAAATTTTATTTTGATCTGTTTCATGGTACAGAGATCTTTGAGAACATCATACTCAGGTTCCAGCTTTTAAGTGCCTTCCAATAAACAGGCCCAAGTAATTCTCTTCTTGACAGTTCCCAATTTTGGTTAAGCTTAACTGTTGACAATTTTACAATGCCTCCAGCATACAGCTGCAAATGTCTTAAAATACAAACTAAACCTTGAGAGCATAAACGTTAAAGGTATCTCCTGGATTTGACTTTTTGTACCATGAGCTATAGAGTTACAAACAAAAGGTTGATTTGGTTTCAGAGATACACAGAGATTACTAGAGTGCTCTATCTTATAGGAAACAAAAGGCATGTTCTCCTATTATGTGATATTCTGTTTATACGTATTAAAATAAGTTCCCTGCTTTTCATTTCACTCTAATGCATCTCAAATAGCAGACTATAAACTTTCTAAAAACCTCACTCAAACTCACTTAAATCTCATACCTACAAAGCCAGTATTTCCATTCAAGTCACAGGGAGTATTTACATGCTTAATTTAACCATGAGAAGAAATCTTTACGTCTCTGGGGCCTTACTCACTGGAGAAAGCTGAGAACTGAGCTCAGGAAAAAATACAGCAATCCATTTTTTTAAAAAATTATTTTTAGCTCAAAGCATGAGATTATTAGCAGCTATCCACACGAGTGCCCTCCCAAGAAATAGGAGAAAAAATATCAGCAGTTAGCTGTAATATTGAGGCACAGTTCAGAAGGTGTCTTCCAAGAACCTACACTGATCACTTCTAAGAGCATCATCCTAATGAACCAACGAGGTTATTGAAGTACATCAACCACACATACACACAGAAATATACTCACCTCCAACATCATCAGTTATTTGATTATTTCTCAATGAAGACCCACCAGTGTACTGCAACCTTGTCCAGCAGCACAGGAAAATACAACTTCCCCTTTTGAGAGGCAACAAACTGAAGGGAAGGGGAAAATCACAGTAGCTTATGCTTGGCCATAAAGTTCATTGTGGTGTCCAAGAATGGAATTTGGGAATCTTGGTCTACAGCCACAAAGTGAAAAATCGTTTCTAGCAAAGCCAAACAAAATTCCAATGGACTTCAGAGGAGTCATGATTCCACAACAAATTAGATAAATTATCTGTAACATGAATAGTGAAGCAGACATATGCTTAACTTACAAAAGAAAGAAGGGAAATTACGGTAGTTGTAGTTAATTTGGATTTCCAAAAGATTTTACAAAGTCCTTCCTGAAGGGCTTAAGGAAATCAAGCAGCTATAAGACCTTGTTAAGGTAGAAACAGGGTTACAGTAAACTGTGTGTTGCTACTGAGGCAAGTTTCCCAAGGGTATGTGCTGGGCTTGGTTACTTTCAATATATTCATAAATTAGGAGGTAAAGAAGTTACAAAGTTTGCTGATGATATTAATTTATTCAGAATGTAAAACAGTAAAAACCAGAAAAAAAATGGAACAGTTCTTAGGAGACTGAGTGGATGCATCATAAGGTAGATGGTATAAAACAGCAGCTGAAATTCAATGGACAAAGACACAATGCACATGGGCAAAACCTCAGACTCACTGATGACAGGCTCAGTTTGACTACTAACCCTCAAGCATTAACTCATGGGACTATGATGGGCAGAACAAGAAGAAACATTTGCTCGATGGTGAGTGGGTGTTATATGGAAAAGAGAATCCTACGGAAGAAATCCAATCCAAACAGCATTACACCACAGTGCACTCACACCTTGAGCATGGCACGTAAGCAAGGTGATGTTCACCCATCACTGGGGGTGCAACCCAAAGAGGTTCACTGAAAAGCAACAAGGAGGGTCAAAGATTTATACAGAGAACTTAACTACACTAGACCTTTTCAGCTTGGAAAAGAGACAACAAAGCAGTGATGGTCAAGATCTGCATGGTCAGGAGTTAGAGAAAACTGCTCGTTCCCTCTTCCAGCACCAAAGCTGTGAGAACTCTGACAGGAAAGCCTCCAGGCTGCAATTCTCAGTGCCTGGGAAAGCAGCTCGGGGGCAGCTCAGTAGAGCCACCCTCCTCCAGAACTCCCCACAGCAGTGCCCTCGGCCAGGACGTGCAGTCACTGAGGGCTCCTCCAGCAAGGACTGGTCATCCTGACTGCCCCACGCTGGGAACCTGCCCTCAGACCCGGGATTCACCCGCAGGTTTGTGGGAAGTGCATTCCTGATACCACGCAACACAGATTTCACCATGCAAAAGAGTTATCTCCACTCATATCCCAAAGGTGACACTCTACAGTCTCAAAAGGTGGTTTGGTTTTTTTAACTTACCTATGAGGTCTGTAGGCCCAGTCCCCAAATTTTCTCCTCTAATTGTCACTTTTGTCCATGAGATGCCTTCATTGGGAGAGATGCCAGTGACAAGGGGGGGCTGCCGTGCCCGAGACATGATGTCCAGTCAGTTCCTGAAAGCTGAGCTGCTTTCATCTGTTCAGCAAGAAACAAGCATTTGAAAACAATTATATTATGCAAAAATCATTAAATACCTTTTAACTGTTCTTCCACAATGGTAGAGAAACATGAATGTAAATATGGCACACCACTCAAAGCCCTTTTGCCACAGTCATAAAGCAATGAAGAATCCCTACACCACCTTTGTACTTGACTTTTTTTTTTAATTAAGCACAGCTCTAGTTCTGAACTGAAATGAAAAAGTAGATTCAGAAGAATATTAAAGCCTCAAAATACTTAATGGAACTATATCCACACACATTCCAAACCACTTCTGTTAGAATTCAAATGAGCCTATTCAATCCTCTATTAGAAAGTTATTATTGGATTCCTTAGAAAGTCTAGAATTGCTAAGTACTAGCCTAGGTTAGATATTTTGATAACTTCCCACCAAAGGTAGACTTATTGGCACAGACAGTCCCATGGGAAGAAGCCCCCAGCACTTATTTGTATAAAGCACCAACATTTACAGAAACAGAGAAAGCTGAAATGTCACTTACAGACACAAGGCTAGCAGGGAACATCAACAAATCCTATCCAAACAGACCAACAGAAACATATATAAAACTACTGAAGAAGCATTTCCAGAAGACTATTTACCTAAACTCCACCTGCTCCTCACAGAATCCCAGGTGGGATATGACCTCAAGGTTTATCTCACCCAACCTTCCTTGGCATAAACCCAGTCTAGACCAGATGGCCCAGCTCCTGTCCATCAGAATCTTAACAGTGTCCCGTGTTGGGGACTCCACCACTTCCCTCAGGAGACTCTTCCAGTGGCTGATTGTCCTTGCTGTGAAAACCTTTCCTCTTGCACCCAGAAGTAACCTGCACCCATCACCCCTCGCCCAGTCCATGTGACTCCTAAAAAGGGAGTCTCATCTCCTTTGCAGCCACAGCACTGGCTCTGAGCAGCTGATGCAGGAACCCTTTTTTTCAAGGTTTATCTCATCTGAGTAGTCCTTGCAGCTTTTCTCACAGATTCTCAGCAGACCTTGAAGATACACAAGGGCTGTAAAGGACCAGTGGGGTCACATTCCCACACAGACCCCTAGACACCTCCTCCATGAAGCAGTGTGTCTCCAGAGACCACTAAGACAACTTAAACCACCTCTTTTACTTTGAGCAACTCTCTGTGAAGATTTACAGAGACATTTAATCAGTACCACAGATGTCGAAAAGCCACTTTCAAGAATTCAGGGGTAGCATGAAGACAAATCCAAGTAAAACAGAAGCTACTTTGGTACTAATTGGCTGATTTTCTCTGCCCCACATCCCAAATGTACTGGTTTCCTTGCATCACAACCACTGTTTCTTTCAAAATACCCTGGCACACAGGTAATGGGCTGAATCAGTACCAAAACTCAAAAGTAATATTGCAACATATCTTTCTGGATTTCAGAAATTGACACTAGATCCCCCTTCATGATGAGCAAAATAAATGTAATAAAAACGCTGAGCCTCCTGAGGTCGAGTATTTCTTCTAAAGTATTTCCATACTTGCTGCAGAATTGCTGTGAAATACCTGGCTGGAATGAGAATGCCACAGCAAAGCCCAGCCCATGGCACCCAGAGGCTCCGTTCTCAGCACTTCTGACAGCAGTTGGGTGGCTTTGTTCACAGCACAGGTGAAGCACTCGGTGGGACCTGTCCTTACCCCAAATTCCAAACCAGCACTCGGGAGCCTTCGACTCCTTTAGAATATTCCTCTGCTCCTTCTTCTGCCAGCACTGCCAATAGCCAGGCTGCCTGAAGTGCCTGCTGGCAGCCCAGTCAGTAGACTGCTGTGGTCAAAGGCAAGTTTGTAGGTTTTTAAAAAAAAATTAAGGAAAAGCTTAAAAAAAAAAAAAAATATTACTTTTACTAGATTAACAGATACCATAATCTAATTAAGGGCTTCTGCTGCAATTCTGTACATGGTCTTAAAGAGAAATTATGTTCTTTACAAATATGTATCATGTATGAAATCACAATAAAAATATGAATGATATTTTAAAAGTCTTTAAAAGTGCTTTCAGAGACTCAGTGAGGTTGCATACAGCCAGTTTCCACACAGGACATTTCCTCCAAGGAGCCAGACTCACTGAAAAAGTGCTACCCTATTTTTCTGGCAATGGATGATTCTCTTCCCCACTAACAGAGGTCTCTTTCC